GATCAAAGAGCTACAAACTTTATTCACACTTAATATTTGCATCGCCGAAAAACTATTATGTTCAACGAAGATAAATAGGACAGGGAAAAGTGAAATTGTCCCTTTTGGGTATCACTTTGTAAGTGTCAAAATTCGTAAATTTCGAAGCATTTTTGGTAAATTTCGCTTTCTGCAGCAGAATTAAAAAATAATCTATTGTAGGGAAAATTATTTGCTGGTGAGAGAATTAATTACCTACTGGAGTGAAAATTATCTGTCGAAAGAATGAAACCTACAACCGAACTGCAAATGGCTAGAAGACAAAAATCTCCGATCGACCGGTCACAAGCATATTTATTTTCAGAAATGGAAAGAATAGAAAAGAAAACTGATAATGATCTTTATGCAGACCTTAATGAAGCAACTGTTACCTGACCTCTTACATTTACTGCCTGCGATAATACTTTCGCATTGAGAAAAAAATCAATGCCGTCAAAAACTACTCAAAAGGAACAATATTTGCTTTTTAGTGGTATTAAATTTATTGAATAATCAAATTGAAGTGTGAAGTACACTTAACCAAATAATAATAAAATTAAATACAAGGTATAAAGGATTGAAAATGAAAAATAAGCATGCATTGTTGCTCATTCTTCTCACACCTCTGCGGTGCTCACCGTGCTTCTTTTATCAACACAGGCAACAATTTAGAATAAAAAGGAAATCATGTCACAGTTCATTCAAGCAACAAATGGACGTGGCGTTGTCGCTCACAGAAGATCCGATGCTGAAATAAATTTCTACTTACAACTTCTATCCTCTAATCATTCATTGACTGCGCAGGTATAATAAGCATTTCTATCTTTCGATAATTTCTCTCCGAAAACATTTTGCCTTTTAGGACTGCTTCTTTTTGCACAAAGAATAGGTAAACGCATTAAATTGAACAAGCGTATTTCAAATATTTGCAGTATTCAATCGCTTGTTCATTCAAATTGAAAAGCCAAGTTGTTTACATGGTCTTCGAAATTTCTGTTGCTTATTTCCCTTAATAATGCGGATTACAAGCTTGGAAACAAGCAAATATTTAGACATTTGCTGCGATTTAGTTGTTGTCCAAAAGCACTGTTGCAATTCAACAGATTCTTGTCTGTCTGCACAACAAAAGTAAACAAAGATCCTATAAAATCATTTACAATGCAAGCACCCAATATACTGTCTGTAAGCTCGAAGTGGTCTACAATCGATTTACTAATCAACGAGCAATTGCTAATCACTTCTTGATTCTCTTTTGTGAATCACCCCTTTTTATTTTTCACGACTGAAAATCATATGTTTTTGTTCCAATAAAAAGCTAGTTTAAAATTCAGGCTTCTGCCGTGGAGTATTTTCGACATCTACTTATTCAAGATCATGTGCCACCTACATTCATCGCTGATACATTAGTTCGTCCCTTATTTTGTTTCAACTCAGTACTTTTTTTATTATTTGGTATTTATAGTAATTCTAGTACGATTTCACCTCGAACGTAGTTTAACTCGAACGTATAAAACATATATTTAGTTGAGCAACGAGGTTTCAGAAATTTTCTATTGGGTTTCTAAGGACTTTCTAGTAAAGAAAGTCACATCAGTT